TCTTCCTCATCGTCGGAATCTGAGTTATCTCTTTGTACATTTTTCTGCCCGCTCGTCTGTTTTGCCCTGAGTGTATGATGCATCTCAATAGTTATCGCAGTTAGCATCTACATGATATTGCGTAGAGCTTCATCCATTCCTTCTAGTCGTTGTTCAATTTTTTCAAACTTTCATTCGTTGTCGGTGGTTTGTTTGCCACTCAAACCATCATCAGCTATCAGATTGAGGTGAATTCCTTGATCTGATACCAATTTTGGTGTGGAAGCATTATGAAATTTTTATAAAATTCTTATAGTCAGAATTGAAAATCAAAATTATATTGGAATAATCTTACTTTGTGTTGATATATGATTGATTGATTAAAAAATGTACAATACCCCTATATTTATAGGCAAAATTATCACTAATCCTATTAAAAAAAGGAAACTAAATTTTAAAAGAAAATAAACAAATCCGTATCTAAACAAGATTTAAGAATAAACCTATTACAGCTAGAAAATGAAATTAGAAAAGATAATTAAAAAAAAAAAAAACTCTTAGATAAAGTAAAACTATTAATTGTAGTTGTAATGTACTACATCAAAAACTCTCCCAACATCTGCCCAACACAACGAATAATAATGAAATTGGGTTTTTTTGTAAAATTATTTGTAGATTATAAGTTGTGGTTCTTACTCAAACGATATGAATTGTACAAAATGTGTAAATAAAGATGATGTTGAACATGTTTATAAATTTGAAGAAGTTATTGTAAACAAGTACTTTGAGCGTCATTTCAAAGTTTTCTTTTCCCACAAATATGAATTAACAATTTTTGGTTCCTTTCGAGAATTTTGGAGTTTGAACATTGAAGCATGGACACATTTGAACTTATCGTAAATGTTGAAAACCTTCCTTGCAATTTCCCATATATCCGAGTACAATGCACGTTTTTCACTCTCCTTGTCCCACCATATATATATGAATAATTCTTCCCTCTTCTCGCCAGTCAAAAGCTTTTCATTTAAATTATTCTTATAAGCCCGACTAACCAGCGTCGCCTCCGCCTGCAACTCTCTCTCAGTAACACATACACTCACAGATTATTCCTCAAGGTACTAAAATGTCCATGCACAAGAGCACATCATCCTCTTCCCTAGGTCCCGGCGGCCTGGACTTAACTCAAGCCTTCTTCAAGCCCATTTCCAACGCCGAGCCACCGTCCCCAACCAAGCGCCACTCCAAAATCACCGTCGTCGGAGTTGGAAACGTCGGCATGGCTATCGCCCAGACTATCCTCACCCAAGATCTGGCCGACGAACTCGCCCTAGTCGACGCCAAGGCCGACAAACTCCGAGGCGAAATGCTCGACCTCCAGCACGCCGCCGCCTTCCTCCCCCGAACCAAAATCCAAGCCTCCCCCGACTACGATATCACCGCCGGCTCCGACCTCTGCGTCATCACCGCCGGAGCCCGCCAGATACCTGGCGAGAGCAGGCTCAATCTTATACAAAGAAATCTCTCCTTGTTCAAGTCTATTGTGCCGCCGTTGGCTAAGTACTCGCCGGAATGTATACTGCTGATAGTTTCTAACCCCGTCGATGTGTTGACTTACGTGGCCTGGAAGCTATCCGGGTTCCCGGCGAATAGGGTTATCGGCTCGGGCACCAACTTGGATTCATCCCGGTTTCGGTTCTTGATCGCCGATCATCTCGATGTCAATGCACAGGACGTGCAGGTGAGGTTCTAATAATCCCTTATTTTCGATATTTAATCACTTATTGTTTACTCAAGTTTCCATTTTCTATGCACTGATTGCTGTGAAATATTAGTCACTTTTTTCACTTTATATTCAAGTTTTAGGGTTAGAGTTTGATAATGATGATGCCAAAAATCGTACCCATTCATCCCGAGCCTGAGGACTTAGAACGAGCACGAATTAGGCCTTCCGATACCTGAAACAAAGGCGTCGAGGGGTGTCCTCGACATCCCTCCGATGCTTAAGTCAGAGAGAGAATATTTGAGAGTAATTATATGCTGGAAATTATGTGTAAAAACATACCTGAATAATGAGCCTAGGTTATGTATTTATAGATGTTGGAGGGGGAGTCGTGGAAGGAGTTAACTTCTTGTAGTCCTAGTTATTTTAGGTGTTTGTA